TCTTTGGCTCATCCATCGGTGCTCAGTGCAGCCTAGATAGCACTCACTCTGTAGTTCTGTTTTTTTCACGGCCACCTATGGGAGTGTGGGGACAGCAGTACTGCCACCGTCATACTGTCCGTCAGGTGTCTGTAGTCACGGTGTTCATCGAATATATTGTCATGATCATCGAGTGTCCGTAGTCATGGTGTTCAAGTGTCACAGTCACAGTATTCATCGACTGTCCGTAGTCACTGTGTTCATCGAGTGTCACAGTTAACGGTGTCCATCAACTGTAACAGTTAACGGTGTCCATCAAGTGTCACAGTCATGGTGTCCGTTGCATATCACAGTTATGGTGTTCATTGAGTATCACAGTCACAGTGTTCATCGAGTGTCCGTAGTCATCGTGTTTGAGTGTCACAGTCATGGTGTTCATCGTGTGTCACAGTCATGGTGTTCATCAAGTGTCACAGTCACATTCATTGTGTGTCACAGTCATGGTGTCCATTGAGTGTCACAGTCATAGTGTTCATCAGGTGTCATAGTCATGTTCATTGTGTGTCACAGTTATGGTGTTCACCAGGTGTCTGTAGTCATGGCGTTCAAATGTCACAGTCATGGTGTTCATCGAGTGTCACAGTCATGGTGTTCATGAGTGTCCATAGTAATGGTGTTTGAGTGTCACAGTCAAGGTGTCCATTGAGTGTCCCATAGTCATAGAGTTCATCCAGTTCCACAGTCACAGTGTTCACCAAGTGTCACAGTCACGGTGTTCATCGAGTGTCACAGTCACGGTGTTCATCGAGTGTCACGGTCATGGTGTTCATCGGGTGTCATGGTCATGGTGTCCATCGGGGGTCCACAGTCATGGTGTCCATGAGTGTCCAGCATGGGGCTCAGGACAAGTGTGTGAAAATGCTAGAGGAATGAATGCTTGAACCCGGGAGGCAAAGGTTGCAGTGAGTCTAGATTGTGCCACTATACTCCAACCTGGGCAACAGAGTGAGACTCTGTCTCAAAAAATAAAAAAAGCTGTAACTTTCATGAGGTTGTCCTGTGCTGCGGGGAATGTCTCCCTGTCCCCAGGCCTGACGCTGCGGATGAGTGTCCACAGTCATGGTGGCATGGAGGCTGGCAGGAGTCTACGGCAGGGCCTGGTTGGGGGCTGGGTGGTGTGGAGCCTCTTTGCCCTCTAATCCATTTTCCCCAAAATGACCCTCACACCTTGCTCCTTCCCCTGT